CCACTGTGGTGGCCCATATTTAATAATTAATTCACGAGTTATTACGCATGAATAAGCAACAAGTATGTTGGTTTTGGAAGTAATTACCCTTAATGGATAAAGCATTGATAAATGTATTCATTTATAGCTTAATAAAAATATCCTTAATTAATGATGCTTTCAAGGTTTACTAACCATTAGTTAATGACTAAGTAAGGCTAAATAAGGTGTAGTTAACCATGCTTTTGTGCAGAACTTATTTGCTTCTTCCTCCATTTATAATTCAGTTTCAGATGAGTTTCTGTGAAGCAGCAGAGTGTGCTCTGTGATAGAGAATTCCCAAAGCCAAACTGGGTCAGTGGGGAGGAGAACAGCTTTTATGGCCATGATGGTTTGTTATGCTGTGTCACTTGTGGGCTCGAAAGTCGTGTGAATCTGTTTCAGTCACCAAACTTTACTCAGACTTCAGTGCTTATCACAATATTATGCACTAAAGAAACATATACAGGTCTTAATGGTTGACACCCTAATTTTTCTGTGACATCCATTCTTGCAGAAATGTCATAAAATTACTTCTGGGAATGTTCCATAGTACACAGGAAGTGCTGCAGCTAGCTGCTGTAATTTACGCTTGCAACAATAGTGTTTGCAATGATATTTTTGAGACTGAAGTCATTTTTAGATGGCAGAAATTCACTTGGATTAGCTGTTAGCTCAGGGGTGTCCAATAGTCCTTAAGGGCCACTATCCTGCATGTTTTACTAGGTTTCCGGCTCCAACACACCTGATTTAGTGACTGAATTACCTCTTTAAGTCATGCAAAATTCTGTTAGTTACCCATTCATTCAAATCAGGTGTGTTCAAGCAGAAAAGCCTCTAAAACATGCAGGGTAGTGGTCCTTGAGTACTAGAACTGGACTCCCATGTTAGCCCATCAATCTGGTCAAATTTAAACTCCATTTCGCCACATTGGGAGCATCCAAAACGCTATCTAACAGGTAAGATATTATTTGTTCACACAGTTGCACATGACCTCACTTTGAAATATCTGGGATACCCCTCTAAATCAGTAGTCAGAAAACATTGTGTGTGAACACAAGCGTAAAAGATCTACCGAGCTAGAATAAATTCAAAAGGAAAGATGAGAAAGTTTGCCTCACATGCTGTTTAAATGGTGTTTGGATAAATAATGCAGCCTGCACGCTTCATGTGTAATCTGACATTGACTGCGACAGTCAGATTCCCATCGTTCTCCGCTCACCGTCGAAGGGAAATGAATTCATCATAGTTATTTGTCCCCGCTGCCAGCTTCCTCTTCAGTCAGGTTTCATCATCAGTGTGATTTGTAAAGAGAGAGGGTGTCTTGTGATGGGCCCACTCATGAATTGATCTATGAGCTGGTTTGGAACCTACTTTACATGCTGTCATTGTGCCTCTTATTTGCCAGGAGGAAAAGGACGTGATAAGTGGGTCATAAGGATTTGATGGTGGGCCATTTAAAACGAAAACAATGTTATGTGTGTCTCACTTCACTTGCGAGTGACAAAATTAACAAAAGACACCCCGAGGACAAGTGTTCACTTAACAAACTCAAGCAAATAGGGCAGGGAAATAATAGTTTACTGTTTCTAAATATTTTAAAAAAATATGAAAAAGATCAAACCAGCTCTAAGTTTCAGATATTCAAACACTTAATATAAAATAAGGCAAAGTACTTTTTAAATAACATGTCTCAAAAAATATTGTCTCCATGTATTTGTGAAAGTGCTAAAAAACATTTAAATAAAAAGATAATTATTGAAGAAATGTTTTGTAGATTTTAACATATTTTTTCACTTTAAAACCTCATGAAATTTTCAGTTGTAGAAGGACAACTTGTAAAAGTCAAATTATAATGATTTATAATCTTGTTCTTAAAATAATGCTCTGCAAAACCAGAGAGATTTAACATTTTTGTTTTAAATGTATAGTTTGGGATTTTGTTTGTGAAGTTCTACTGAGAAGTGATCATCAGTCAGTATCTTACCTGCGGTAGAAACCAGTCCGATTGGACCTAGTTTAGAAATACAKTTAATGGGATGTTTAAAGCTAGGTTTGATCTGGTGCAGGTAGGAAAATGCCTACTGACTGTGACTCCACAGAACCTTACTTCTAAAAAAATAAACTTCCCCCTTCAATATGTCACATAAACAATAAAATGATTGCATGTAATTATTTCCATGTTCTGAAAATGCAAAATGAGCTAACGCTACTTAATGATAGCTGATGTGAGATGATACTTTGTGTAYTTTGTGTGCGACTGCCTCTAATATTAAACATTTTAGTTCAGCGGTACAGTTGAAAAATGTGTTTTTTGCAACAAATATTGAGTTTGATCCATGGTCCAGCCTTGCTAGCTGATACTGACCCTAAGTTCACACTTCTACAGGCTCTCAGCAGCAAGAAAGCCTTGGCTCTGACATGTCACTGTTAAATGTCAGCTCCTTCTGAGCTAATGTAAACATTTTTGTGCCTGTAACTTTGCCAGCTGCTTGCAAAAAGTGAAGTTCAGGATCTCAGAGGACCAAAAAATCCTGCATTTTAGGGCCATGTTAACTATCTAAGCTCTGTCAGCAAAATCCCTCCTGTTACCATTAGCAACCGCCAGAACAGGACCCCTTCATTCTACCTGGGGACACAGTATGCTGCTTGTTAGAGAGACAAAAAAAAAATGAAGAAAGGAATATTATAAGGAGTAAAAAAATGGCATTAGAAGAAGTGGGGGGGAAAGGATTGGGAGCTAAATTAGAAACAGCAGTGAACGCCTCAAAATCAGAACACAATAAAGACCGGATAAGATAAATGAGGCCTTTTACTGTTTGGCCCGGAGGGCTTTATTTGATATTATAATCCATCCTAATGTGCTGTAGGCAGAACAACAGCATCTGAAACAAAGCAGCAACAGAAGCTTTTTACCCACAGGTCACAGTGGAAAGGTTTTTAGTGCCAGCGGAAGTTAAAAACCGGCAACCAAAAGCATGTGAGGCAGAATTAGGTCGCCTGTGTCACCCCTAAAAATTGAGACTTCTGTGAAAAGCAATTACAGTCCCAGAGGTGCACACAGATTTCTCTGCCAGCTGGCAGAAAGCATTGCCCACATCAGCTCAACATGGCTTATAGATACAATGCAAGGCTATCAGCTGTTTGAAAAATACAATACTGAATATGTGCTCCTTGAATCAGTGCCAACATGTTGGTAACTAATATTGCCAGAGATGATTTGGCACTTAATCAGTCATGACCATAATCAATGATACAGAAAGCAGCAGCAGGAAGAGTCAGACTGAGAATAAAACCCACTATTTATTTTGTAAATAGCAATAATTAAAGCACTTGCCATTTTATGTAAGTTGAGCTGTTAATATTTGGGGGAAAAATGCCATACTTTTTAAAAAGTTTCTTTTTTTGTGTGTGTGTTTGTTTTCTAATTAAAATGAGCACAACATTTAGAATTTAGACAACCTTCAGGACAACTTTAAGCAACCCCAACCACAGCTTCAGTGGCTGTTTCTCCTCTCCACAGGTAACAAAATCACAGTGTAGTGCCGTGAGGCTTTATTAATACAAACTTGAAGTCCCAATTCCCTCCTCAGAGAGCAGAAAGAAGAATAAACATTCCAGTTTGTGTGTGTGTCTGTCTGTCTGTGTGTGTGTGTGTGTGTGTGTGTGTGTGTGTGTGTGTGNTGTGTGTGTGTGTGTGTGTGTGTGTGTGTGTGTGTGTGTGTGTGTCTATCTGAAGTGTGTTTGCATCACAGCATTAAAACTTCTGACAATAACAGAAGGGTGTTTTTCTGCTTGCTTTGTTCTGCTTTTCTCTCTCAGGGTGATGCTGTCAGGCAGCCTGAGGTGGGTCCTACCTGCAGAATCTGGCAGCGGTCCGAGGTGCAGTCGATGTTCTCGCAGGGCTGGTACATTCCCAGCGTCACACAGTTGAGCAGGATCACCATGATGCTAATCCTCTCGAACCACGTACTGACAGAACCGGGGTTAAGGAGCAGGTCAGATGAGGAAACAGACACAATCAGACACACACAGACACGCACATCAAAAACATACCCAGGGTGTTGCTTTGACTCATTCATGCACATTTAAGAAATCCTTGAATCTCCTTGTGGTAATTGTGCTAAATGCTTGCTGGTACAAAGCACCGCCTCATTGTACAAAGCTCCTCCCTGGAGCTCAGTCTGCAGCCGAGCTCCCACCCAACAAAGCACCCCTCCTCGAAACATTGTTTTGAAACATGCTGAAGTGGGAAACGTCAGAAATGGTAGGAAGTTCTTAAAGAGACAGGGGCATATTTCAAGATAGGGTTTGATTTAACGCCAAATTCATTTTTGATTTATAGACCTTTTTCCACAACAACTGAATGTAACATACTGTAGCTACTTGATTATAGTATTCAAGTACGAGCCTGAAAAAAAWATATATTATACTCCCTTTCAATGGTATTTAATGGGTAAAACAAACAGTGGATTAACACTAAGGTTCAAAATTTACTGTCTTGAGTTTTTGATCAGACTCACTGAGGAAAAAAAAAATCTGCATTTGTGCTTACTGAAAATGTATGTTTTTCCTTTTTTTCAATTTTCCATTTTTTTTGCCAACGTTGTATTCAGTGACCAGGTTAACTACTATTATCAATACAAGCCAATTAGAAAGTGTTAATTTTTATGTCATACACACAAATGCTGTGACAACATACTTATTGTAAGAAAAATTAAATAAATGAAAATAAAAAGATTACTGTGTGTGTACAAGTATACAAACTGACAATAGTTCAGAAAAAAGTTCATTACAATCATGCTGGCTTTTGAGGTTGTTGATGCTGGGAAATCTTTGACTTTCCAAGTTGCTGTTCCAACTTCAGGAGTTCACATTGATTCATTTGACTTAAAAAATACATCTGAATAAAATAAATTGCACAGCCAGTTTATAGCACGAGTTGCTGTTTCGAAAGCACACTTGATCAAATAAAAAGCCTTTCGGCTCAATATTCTCTTTCATCATTTATGATTCCTTTTTTTTTTTTGCTCAAAGGCTTTTGTTTTGTCCAGGTGAACCATGTGATCAGGCTTATGCAGAGGATTGCAAATCAACAATTTAAGGCCACGCTAACAAAGATTTGTGTCCAGTTTGTTTCAAAGAATGCTTTGCTGTGTAAAAAGAAAAACACTAAAGATGGCACAATTCCAACTTATTCATGTACAGTTTAACTCTCCATCACCTGTTTAATAATTTAGATGCGATTAGGTTGGTGTATTGGGACCTAAAAAATATGAACGCTGCTGAAGATGGTATTTAAAATCTAAATTCAAAATATATTCATTGAAAACAATATGGGTGCCTATAGTTTGGCAGTTTGAAGTGCAGCTCGAAGTGCGCTAGCAGTTGTTATTGTCTCAGGATGACGACATCTAAACGTGAGCCGAGCACCAACGTTCATAAACTTCAGCATTTAACTTCTTATCATTTAACTTTTACATTTAGATTTACACATTTAGATTTGGGATTTCAAATTTGCACATATTTTTTAACATTTAAATTTAACGTTTTGTAAAAACTAGCAAAACAGAAGAACAGTGAGCTAAATAGCAATTAAATGTTAGTGGAAATCACTCAGAAAGTGAGTTAAATAATGAAAAATGTGTTGGTGACCATTTTAACATTTCATTTTACACTGCCCCCCTCCTCCCCCCATACTGAACAGTGTCTGCTCTGATGTGAAGAGACTCAGCGCTGCTCTGAGTTCTGTTTCTTTGTCACACTGACCCCCAAACCATTCCCTCCCTAGAGAGTCAGGCAGCAGGCGTCTGACTCACGCCCAGCTGATTCCAGAGCACTGACTGATGCATGGTCATGTCACTCCCTAATCGTGTGGTGCGAGTGCTAACCGAGACTGACATTAAGAATGCTTCGAGGAGCGTAGAAAGGAGGACTGCTGTTATTAGCGTTTTATTTGGTTGTTCTTTTAAAGCTATTAGACTTAAAAATGTCACCAATGAAACCATGCGCAACTGAAAATCTTGTTTTTTCTTCTTTAATATAACATCTTCTTTCTCTTACTGCTTAATCTTCTCAAACAGAACCTCCCTTCTGCTTTACTCCCTTCTAATATTTTCTCTCCTCTTCCTGATGTCTCTACCTATTTCTATGCCTGTCTTTCTGCGTCAAACAGATTTAGTCAGAGGCTTGCCCTCCTTCAACCTTCTTTTTCTGCATGAAGCTTTCTGAATTTATCAAGCTCACTAGCTCCCTTTTTGACAAAACATTTCAAGGTCCAGAATTGATCTTTCTGTTTACCTCTGTGAGGCAAACAAGAAACAAAAAGGCATTTATTAACCACATCTTGAAAAAAAAAAACAAATATAATTGAAATCATAAAAATGGGAAAGTGTTAGGCTGTGGTCCAAAAAAAAAGCTATTTATTACCTGAGTGCATTTCATATTTATTTTGTCCTCATGAAAATGCATTCTCTTGTGACTGCAGTGTCCAAGGTTTCAGAGCTGATATTAATTATGATGTGCAAATTGTTAAACTTGCCGAAACATTGTGAGGCAGGCAGCTATGAGAGATTCATTAAGAATCCACTCAAAGAAAAAAAAAACACTGTTTTTAATGAAAAGATAATGCGTCAAGTCTATAAAAATTAGGTTCCAGCCAATGTTTAACTTTCTGAAATGATGACAATTTCTACAGGTTGTTATAATGTCAAGGAAAAGTTGWTCTCTAATCGTTTGCTGTAATTTCTTTATTTCACCCTGTTAAACAATTGAAAATACGAAATATTGTCATAATTAGGAAGTTTTCATTCCAGTGGTCGTTTGTGCGAAAAATGAAAAGATCCCCTCAAGGCATTCTCGCACAGATGAACAATTTGAATACATAATGACTTCTGCCATCAAATCACAGGGATAAAAGTTATAAATATCTCCATGCGTCAGAAAGGCAAGCTGATGCATGAACATTAAGCTACTAATCCATCCAACATAAATAAAATCATCTGATAAATTAAGGGGAAATGAGTTATTTTGTTGCACCTGAGCAAATTATGTGTCTGATTAAGGAATTAGAAGAAATAAAACTGCTCATTAGGACTGATTATAATCTCAWGAGATGCAATAACTGATCTTTATCAACATCTATCATTCTTAAAAGGAGCCATATCATACTTTTAACGTTCAACATTTTTCATGTTTAAATCTTTCAGWTGGAGTCTATATAACATGGAACTGAAATGCTTTGTCCTGTTGCCTTATTGTAACTCCACAAACTCCTCTTTCATCCTTTTTCTGAGGTGTGTCTCRGATCAATCATTTCTAAGCGGCCCCTTTAAATGCGAATGAGGTACTTCACACCCGCCCCCTCCAGGTCTAACTACCAATGATCAWTGCACAGCAGAGTTACATCAGAGTCACCAGCGGTGCAGAAACTTTACAAACTAATTAAAGAATGTCAACAGAAGACTTGTCCGTCCAGTCGTACACGTTGGAACCAGAGTCTGACTCAGAGCGAGAAGAAGATAAAGATGCCGGACCTGCAGAATCGCAGTTTTGTAAAATTTGTAAGCCAGAAGTCTTTGTCTGGATTTAGAAGTTCTGCAGCAAGTACTGTGATGTAATAGTACAGAAAGCATCACAGAAAACAGWGAAAGCTGAACGGGTTGAAAAATRTGACTCAAACAGAATATAAAGTAATCTATGCAGCACAGGCATAAACTTAAATCAAATTTTGGACATTCCTTGACAGTTCAAGTACACAACAAAATGTTTTTAATGGCTAAAAATGTGAATTTTGCATGATATTTTTAATTTTATTTGAATTTAATGGTTTTTATGTTTACCTGCACAGAGATTACAAATGAAAACTGTCATTGGCTAAATCTGACCAAAATATTCCAYCTTTTTGCTACTGTAATGTTTTTCCAGTATATAATCTACCAAACTAAACTGAATTGTTATCCTTCATTATAGAATAACTTTTTATCARTGACCACACATGATTGAAATAAAATCTGCTCACACAGAAGCCATCCATCCATTATCTCAATCTGCTTCTTTCTTTCAGGGTCAGGGGGTTCACTGGTGCCTATRTCCAGCAGCCWCAGTGCAAGGGGCAGGGTGCACCCGGTCGAACGTCCATCACACATCTGGAAGCCCCTTCAGAAAATCTACGCTAGTAATTTGAGCCTCTGTTCGAGCAAAGACTTTAGAACAAAACTATTTGTTTAATTACTCTGAAATTTAAAAATCTGCAAGCATAAAAAAGAAGCRGTTGGGTGTGTGTGGGGGTATTTACTCAGCAAAAAGCAAGGCATCGAATCAAAAGCTGTGCGTGTGATTGTGCAGACAGGGTAAACTGCAACTGAATAAGATCTTATATTTGCAATTTGCAGCCTAGCTGTTAGAGCTCTGCTTTAGCGTTCACGTCTATACACAACTGATGCCTGCGCCTATTGTGTGTGTGTGTGTGTGTGTGTGTGTGTGTGTGTGTGTGTGTGTGTGTGTGTGTGTGTGTGTGTCTTAGCATTCCTGCAAACGCCCCCTGGGATCAGCCCCATTCAAATCAAACTGAATCAAAGTGACATCTAGCTTCTCACTGTGGCTCAGAAGCCTGTCCCTGCCTCTTCTCCTAATGAGACTGCAGCATGATAGGTCACACGCTGTTACATAGATTCACACATACGCACATGTAGTCCAACTAAACCAGGACTCAMAGCATCCCCTACGCTAACGCAACAACAGACAGAGTCATAAACTGCTTCATCCTCAGCTTTTTTGACAGCTGCTGTCTCATTGGGTCGGGTGCCGTTTCCTTGCTTCTTTTTTTTTTTTTTGGTTTTCAGAAAAGCTACATCAGCAGCGTGTGTGACAATCTAAGTGAACTGTGTGTGACACAGTGAAGAGGGTCCCAGCTGCTGGAGCAAGAATCCGTCAGTACCGCCGGCTGATCTCTCTGTCGACCAGCGTTC